GTCAACTTCAAACGCACTTGAAGCCATCTTTGCTGGTGCTAACATTTCATCTGTATCGGACTGCACCTTTCAGATTATGACTGGGCCGGTCAATATCATCAACGAACCAGCTTTAAAGTGACCAAGAAGGCATATCATTGAAAGTGACGACGAAGATTAAATATTTTCCGTCCCGCTCGACTCGGCGATGTTTGATCGCTAATTTCGGCTCCCACCACTCAACTTTTAGTGAAGCCTATTTTGCCATTTACCTCAGTTTCGCCATGAAACAAATTTCCATTAAAGACGATGATTTTAAATTTGTTCAAAACAGCAAAGCCCTAAAATAGGGCACTTTGTTAAACTTATCCCTTTCCTCGTTAAAGCCTTTCAGTCATAGAAGCAAAGTTTCAGTTGACTCTTTAGGACCTTGCAAGAAATGTGTTGAATGAAAATGGAAGGTTGGCTTTTCTGACAGTTTTGACAGCCCATGTCACGCTTAATAGATTTGGTACCAATTAAAAGTTCAATTAAAAGTATCTGAAACTGATGCCTGCATTGTAATGGCTTACACTTCAAAACGACACGAAGAACTTACGCTTTACGTTATTATGTTTGTTCTTAAAATATAAAGACAAAACTAAAGTCATATTTCTACTGCCGTAAAATGTACACATACTAAGCCCTCAGAATCGGGTCCTTTTTATCCCGTACATTTTCCGCATAATGTAACATGGAATTTGTGAAACACCTTCAAAGCTTTCTTCAGTCGTGTAATAAATCTCTTATTAGCCAAGCTTGCTCAGGACCGTATTAGGAGAATATCAGCCCTCGGTCTTTTTTGTATGGACCTTGCTGCGATCGGTCCGTACTATCAAGACCTCGGGCCGATATCCTCCCAGTACGGCCCTCGCGCTCGGTTAATAAGATATATATCCAATCCAAGAGTAAACATACCATACGTGTAGATGACCGCGAGAAGCCATACAACCAACGCTACCACCTTAGCTTTGTTTTACGTTTTCCCCGCAGGGTGGCGTAAGCCATGCCCCATAATGGTCCGTCGACAACACTGTGAGGTTGAACACGAGAAGGTGTAAAAACAGTGCATACCATGTGATCACTATCCAGGAGTTTGAACGACCCTTAGAAGAGGGCACTTTACAAATGTACCAAAAGATGAAAAGAGGCACGTTGATCAATGCATTGAGGATGTTAACAAGAGCCAAGTTACCGATGATGTGTTGGGCACTGTTGTCATAGTTTTAAAGCTGACAAATAATAAGCAAACTAGGCCATTTCCAACCATAGATCCAATCATGGCTACAGTAATCAGCGACACTTACAAGATCCTTAGTGAGTCACGACGTGAACTCCTTAGTACTTTCCAGTTTATCCTTTGAGTCTGTGCAGCTGAAGTAAAACGCGTCAGCGAACGACAAGTTCCACTCGACCTCCACGATTAAAGTTTGTCTTTCCTCACTTTTCAGAGCGAAATACTTTTTGCCGATCCGATTTGTTCTTAAAACAAGGAGTTACATTACCGTTAGTTGTTTATAAGTGGACAAAAAATCTCTCTTTTTGAACTTTTACGTACTTGCTTTCCAATTCTATCTTGTCATCACTGCCCCAGG